GTACAAAATTACAGGTGTAGAGATATTGGAAGTTTATAATAATAACGGTGATGTTGTTTTCAAATATTTGGTTGATATTCATCAGATAATAAGATTGAATTAAATTTAAAGCGTTGTCTTTGACGACGACGGAAGTTAAAATTTTTATAAGTAATGATCAACGCAATCAAATGCTGGGCATTTGATTCCATAGATTAGTCTGAGCACCTATATGCACTTGTATGTGTGGCTGAACGCCCTTTGGAGAAATCGGATTGACTATTGTACTAACTAAATAGTTTAAATTGAAATTAATCCTTTCAGAACTGATTTTATGTGTCTGGAATTTAAATATAACTAATGGCTTGAGAACATGGTCTGCTAGTAAGCAGAAAGTTACAGCCGAATACGCAGAATATTTTAGAAAATGTGTTGTAATTAATGGGAAATTAGAAGAGGTGCTAATTTATAGAACCCAGACACCGTATACAGACACTTTAGAAATATTATGAATAAAGCGCTCGAGGTGTACAAGATAGTTACACTGCAAGATTGTAGTAAGGACGATCACAAGGTAAAATTTGATACACCTCGATGGAAAATAGTCGGTAAATATACGCGGTGAAGAGTTGTACATGAACGAATAGATCTGAAAGATTAAGGAATGCTAGTGATACAATGATGAGTTACAATCGATGACAAGCAGAATGATGAGCAAAATGGCTAATAGAACGGGCGGTTGATATGACAATGAAAAATGATTTGCAATACTTCGATGAAATTATGAGATTAATATAATAATCATATGACTAGGAATACGATTTATGGATTTTAAGGTAAATGATGGTGATTTAGATTTGATGATATACTGATGAGATGATTGCGCTGAGATCGCTGCTGATGGTTCCGTATACGTTAGTTCACGGAGAAAATGGGGATCCGCGTGTGCTCAATGCGACGTACAACAAACGACTCGCTTTTTGTTGATGCTACTCAAGATTTGGTAGATAATAAGGAGTAGGGTATGTGGTAGTAATATATTGCAAGTTCGTTCAGAAATTGATAGATATATATCAACCAGATATATAATTCGAATTTGGTACATAATTAAATTGAATTAACTTATGATTAAATGTTATAAAGTCCTTTAAAGCGTTGGAGAAATAGTAAAATGGAACCAGGAAATCCAGTTCTTAAAGAAATGTAATAGAATAAAAAGTAATAGTAAAATTTGATGGGAGTGCATATAACCCATAGTTGAGTTGCAATGTAGAGCACTTGAGGCTGAAGTAAAACTAGCATAGTACCATAAAGAATATGACTAGTTGGAGGCCGTAACTCCTTGCGTGCGCAAGCGGTGAATGGCTCATTGAGAAAATGACCAGTTGTTAAATATTTGATGTGTTTCAGTTGGAGGCCGTAATTCCTTGTGGCGGCAAGCGGTGGCTGAGACTAATGAGAATCTGACCAGTTTGAGGCCGTAGCTCCTTGTGTGGGCAAGCGGTGGCTGAGTCTAATGAGAATGTGACCAGTTTGAGGCCGTAGCTCCTTGTGCGGGCAAGCGGTGGCTGAGTCTAATAAAATCCAGATCTGTTGAGACCGTAGCTCATAGTGCGCAAGCGGTGGCATTTTTTTAATGTTTTGTTTTAACAGGTATTTCACTAATTAGCTAGGCAGCCGTGTTTGCAGAGATGCTGACTAGTACCTGGTGTGAACAATTAAGTGATACAACTTAAGGCGGGAAAATATAACAAAGACTGAATTCATGATGTTGAAATGTAATGTGTAGTTGTCAGTGGCAACTTTCATATTTTAAGTATGTAAATTATCTCAAACTAAATTTTATATGATTTTAATTTCATTATATTACCCGATGTTAACTGTTATGATAATATCGAATGAGGCCCTTCGATAACGTTGGATGGCCGAAGTGGCTACGAATACCATCGATTAAATATAAAGTGAATAGTAGGCTTACTAAACTCACGTTCGTTTAACGAAAGTTGGTAATTCGTTTTATGGAGATTGCGCAGGGTTTTGCAACGGACTCCCGGAGTCTGTACTCAATTTGCCAGAAAAAGAAATCAAATGTGTCATAAAGTATTTTCTTTGTAAAAAAAAAAAAAGGCTTATTATAAAATTGAAGAATTTATAAATGTCATCATTTATAAATGAGTGTTTTTTTTAGAAAATATCTAACTTGAAATTCATAGCGCTGTCAATGTTGTCTGATTGAGCGGAGATTGGGTGCGTGGCGGTTTTTATGTTGATTGCCGCATGCCTAATCCTTGTTGTTAATTAAATATAAGTAAATCAATATTTATTTAAAGGAGCAACACACAGGTTTCTCGTTTATTCTTCTTGTGATGAGACTGCGTTCCGAATGAGCGATAGATTCAAGGAACTTGACTACTCAAGGGTGCTTGTGTTGAGTTTGTTTGAATAAAGATTATTTCTATTTCACATTAATCTGGAACAGTGGGTTTTGGTTTATGTTAAACTGGTGTTGTAAAGAAAATTGAGATCAGTATCTACAATCATTTATAGTCCCCTAAATGTACAGGGTTCAAAGGGTGCAATAGATTACTTGACCAGTGAGCTGATGGTATTATTAAGTAAATCATAACTGAAATTCAATGAATTATGTTATATTAAAATAATTCTCTGGTAAATCAAGAGTATCGTCGAAGTAAAATAGTAGTAGTAGTATTGAAGGTATTAGAACCACTTGAATAATATTGACCTGTTATTTTCTATTGGTTAGGTGAAGGCAGGCAGCGATTTTGTTCTAATTTTATGTCACGAGAATATTACTTTCCCTTTATATTTTTTTCTCTATATATGTAGGTAATTAAGTTTTACCTTTTGTAACGTGATATGTTAAATTTATCCGTTAAAATATTCATGACGTGAAATGTCAAGTTCTATTTTGGAGGTATAAAAAAATGCAATGTTCATAAGATCGGAAACTTACATTGTGATGGTGATATGTTACAGTCTGACTCATAGAAGTCAATCACCGCCAAATAATTGTTTGTTACTCTAAAAGGTTGTTCATGTTTTTGGGTGATTTGGATTATGTAAATTAATATATGTTATGTTATATTTTGTGCATTTCTGAATGCATGCCGAAACTTAGCTCTGTTAGTATTGATTTTAGATTGTAAACCTTTGACAGTATACTAAGATAGTCAATGTTATGAAAGTAATGTATATCTTTAGTTTATTTAATTTAGTATTTGTTATATGATCCTGTAGACACTATATCCTTTGATAAGCATGACTACGCTCATCAGTTACCTATGTGTCTGGGCCAGACACTATTGCAGGATGGCCGACTGTTAACTATCGTGTGACGCACCATTAATTAAAAATGGTAAAGTCAATAATCATGTAACCTGAAACGGAACGTCAGAGGCCAGAGCCAAAGTAATCTATGTGACATTGACAAGTGGATGACGGATGATTGAACGTAAGCAGCGGGAGTTTTGGAGCGAAAAAGTTGAAGTGTTTATATTATTATAAAAACAAATAAGAGATAGGTAATTGTGAATATTGTAGGCATTGAGGTGTTTCTCTCCCTGACTAACCGGTATTACGCCTAAGTCGTCAGGATACTAGTGATTTTAAAAATCTATTGCTAAAAACTGCATTATAATCCGTTGTGCAGTTTAAAAGGTCAAAGTGATCAGACAACAGAAGCAACTTCATTTTATACTATGTAAAGATGCTATTTGTAAGGCATGATAATGTCAATAATATTTGTTAAATAAATGTACTATTAATGTACTAAGTACTAAATATATATAACTCAAAGGTGACTGACGTAGTGATCTGTCAACGCACAGCCCAAACCACTGGACGGATCGGGCTGAAATTTGGCATGCAGGTAGATGTTATGACGTAGACATCCGCTAAGAAAGGATTTTGATTAATTCTACCCCCAAGGGGATAAAATAGGGGATGAAAGTTTGTATGAAACTTTGTCAATTTTAAACCGATCGGGCTGAGACTTTGCATGCATAAAGCTACTATGATGTAAGCATCCCGTAAGAAAGGATTTTGATAAATTCCACCCCTAAGGGGATAAAATAGGGGATGAAAGTTTGTATGACACTTTGTCAATTTTCATGTCAATGTCGAGAAATCCCAACTATTAAGAGGAAATTAGTACACTGAGTGAGATGTACAAGCACAGACTTGACTTGACAGACAGGAATGCCGAGGTTTTTTCACGAGACTACAGCATGGGGTTTTTCAAGAAGAAGAATCACAAGAAGAATAAGCAAGAAACTTGTGTGTTGCTCTTTTAAATAAATATTGATTTACTTATATTTAATTAAGAACAAGGATTAGGCATGCGACAATCAGTATAGAAACCGCTACGCACTTAATCTCTGTTCAATCAGATAACATTGTCAGCGCTATGAATTTTAAGTTACATATTTTCTATAAAAACATTATTATCATTTATAAATTCTTAAATTTTTACTATTTTTACAAAGCATATATTTTATAAGACATTTGGATTTTTTTCTGGCAAATTGAGTAGATTCTGGGAGTTTGTTGTAAAACGTTACGCAATTTCTATAAAACGAATTACTAACTTATGTCAAACGGCACTTAGGTAAAACTAGTTTGAGTTTGTTGTAAGCTTTTATTAGTGTAGTCACCTTCTTTATATGGATATATATATAATTTCGACGACCTCGGTGGTCTAGCGGTCTAGCACACCGCTTTACGCCCGATGGTCGCGGGTTCGATTCCTCGCACGGCACAAACATTTGTATTCACGAGTATGATTGTTTGTATCGGTGTGGGTGTTTTCTATGTATAAAATGTATGTATTTACAAAAAAAAATATCTATGTATATGTATCAGTTATCTAGTACCCATAACACAAGCTTTAGCTAGCTTAAGTTGTGGCTGGATGACGGTGTGTGAATTGTCCTGAGATTATTATTAATTAATAATTATATAGACATATAATTAATCCTTAATGAAAGTAAAACTATACATACCTTTATACTAGCCACTTTGTTAACATGAAATATGTGCACAGGTGTTGTAGACGTCACAGTTTGCACCTCGGAGAAAAACCTCTCAAAGGTCCAAATTCTGTGAGGATCCACTTCCAGCAGCCCCGCCAATAATGGTGTCACCAACTTTCTCAGTCCTTGACTTAATTGGCAATGCGAGGGCAGTTCTCGGGCCCACTCTATTGGTCCATTTTCTGTTGTTTGTGTTCCCTTTAACATAACATATGTGTATAGTTTTTTGGTATGATTACATAGTCCACAATACTTGTACTAAAGAAAAAAATAATGTATAATAAAAAAAATATCTAGGACTAAATATCGCAGATGGATAAACCACAAATACATATACATATAAATAAAAGTGGAGTGTCTGTTTCTAATATTCAAATAAGCATTTTTTACTACATACATACAATACAGCATATTAATATAAATATTGTACATACACCAAAAAACCACTTTTTACGATTTTTGTCTGTCTATCTGTTAGTCTGTTTGTTCCGACTAATCTTTGAAATAGCTGGACCGATTTTAACGGGACTTTTTTTGGCAAGTAGCTGATGTAATAAGGAGTAACTTAGGCTACTTTTATTTGGAAATATCTTTTATTTTGCATAGTAATTTACCAACCAATCTGATTATAGTCCACTTACTGATTGCTGTTATACAAGGAACGGAAAAAAAAAATCCACATGGACGAAGTAGCGGAACAGCTAGTCATACATAAAAAAAAATTGAGATGGAGATAGTATTAATAATAAAAAGCTACAAACTTACTGCAATAACCCCCGATGACTTCTTTGTGGTGATATAAAACATAGTCTCCTTATTTCTTCTACCACCATAGGGCCTGAAGGGTAATTGTCCTGTAGCAACATGGTACAGAGTCACTCCTATTGACCACAGATCCACTGTAGCCCCGAAACTCTTCCCCACTGGCTTCCTCAAGACTGCTCTCTCATACATATCTGGATGTAGGTACTCCTCAGTGCCATACAGTGATACAAACTGCTCCTCTTCCTGCAACTCTCTGGCAGCTCCAAAGTCTGTCAACTTATAAGTTGTTGTACCATCTTCATTAATATATTTCATGATATTACCTGGCTTCAGGTCTCGGTGCACCAAATTATTGTCACGAAGGTGCTTCATACCAGCTGTTAAGTGCTCTAACACCAGTAGGAATTCATGCTCCTGAAGACCATATGTGTTCTCAGGGTCATCCAATATGTTGAATAAACTTCCGCCTGTACATAACTCCATAACTATGACTTTACCGCGGCCCTCCTGCTCCTCCTCAATGGACAGCAGTTTCACAATATTCTCATGCTTCACCTTCTTCAGTACTTCGAACTCTCGCATTTGCACATCATGGGGTCTCATGTGACTTAGTTGGTTGAACGTTTTCACAGCTACCGGTTCACCATTATTCTTATTGACACCTTGGAATACTGCACCAGTAGCGCCTTTCCCCAGCACGCTCGTCGTACACCAAACATAATTTTCAGAACCCCTCAAAAAAGACATTTTGTTTCAAAACATATGATCAATTTAAATGTACAAATTTCTTTAGCTTTTTATCATTATGGAATATTGTCTGGTTATAATTTTTATTTAAATTTAATATATTTTCAAATTCCGATCAATAATTAAACATCGAGCGAGCAATACAAAGTGAAAATAAATTTTATTGTTTGATGATCAACAACAAGATTAATTATAAATTAAAACACAGATTAATGGATCATAGAGAAATAGATACACGACATTGCATCTGTATGCTTCTGTCAAATCGCCATTCAAATTTCATACAATTTTGACAATCAAATTACATTTGATGTATGTACATATGTCAGTCAGACACTCCGTCATTGATATTTTGTGACATATTAATTTGGGATAAACAATAATTTAGTTTCATTAATTTAGTTATAAATTAAGTAAACTATTTCATGCTAAATTTTATTAAATACCTAACAAATTAAGTTTAATCTTTATTTTTGTACAGTGACAAAAATAAATAAAATGTAAGTATTAATATTATGTTGTTCTATTTTAAAAATTTACATTTCAGTACCTATAAAAAAAAATCTTTAAAAAAAATATTTAATCGTAGTTTTTTTTATTTTTATTCCTAGGTCATCTCGTCACGACGTCAATAAACATAAGGATAATATTAAAAGCCATTCTTTAGACCGTAACAATGATTATAAAACTTCAAGTAGGAGTAGAAGATCAAGATCCCACTCTCCAACGGAATCCAGACATAAATCGTCTTCCAGAGACAAGAAGAAACATAAAGAGCACAAAGAGAAACATAAGAAGAGTAAGAAAAAAAAGAGAAAACAATCATCTTCGAGTAGTAGTTCAACAGATAGTGATGAAGAGGAGTTGAAATTACTGCAAAGACTCGAAGCGGAGAGATTGCGCTTAAAAGATGAGAAAAAAAAGGAAAAGGAGTTGCTTAAAGCCAATGAGACACCGGAAGAAAAGAGGTTAGATCTTTGACATGTTCATAATTTAAGAACTAGATAATTGGCATTCCGATGAGTTCCAGCTCTTGATATTTACTATAATTCCTTCCTTTACCTTTTAATATTGATAGATATGAATTGTCTCCAACTTATTACTTAATCGGCTTGATAAAAAACAATATGTTTTCATCTAACCCTTCTCTTATTTCCTTTAAATGTAATGTTCATAATTTCATAGTACATTATTACATATACAACATTTTATTATTTGTTTTCAATAATCCTAATGATCTGCCATGTACAAAAAGCAAATTTTAAATAGGTAATGTGATGTCTAATACATCTGAATATATATAATGTTACAGTAGAATAGAATAGAATGGAAATATTCACTATGCAAATAAGCACTTGTGAATAATCATATTTTTTTATTCTACCACTTATTCTGAATACTGACTCTTCACAAGTAGAATGAAGAATGAACAGAAAAATTTTGTTTTCTATTCTATTATGTAGTAAGCAATTTTATAAACATCAAAATTACATCATATTATGTAATACTTTGTACTATCTCATTTATTAGAAATGCTTAACTTGGTATACTGTGTTTTAATTTAAGGGTGAGATCTGGAAGTAAAATTATAGGGTATCATGTGACAGTCTAATTCTTTTGAAGGGCAGTGTATTAGTGGACCACAAGTGTCATAATTTGATAATATTCACATTGATCTTCATGTACATAAGTAAATATAGCAAAACTCCACACTATTAATTGGAGGATGTGATTGGAGAACTGAGTAGAGAATGAGAGGTCATGAGTTGGGACTCATTCTCATGTGGTCAAGTCAGTTAGCCTATTGTGATGAAATCACATGGAATTAACCTAGATGGTTACCAATATCGTGGAGGTCATCCTAAATTGGTACATTGCAAGCAATGGGGTCCTGGCCCCTATTACCAACAATGCCCATTCCTCCCAACATAATAAATACTAACTGGTCGACCTGACATTTGCTAGCCTATTGCTAGAATTGGGTCCTAGCCCCCATTCCTAACAATCGCCTTTTCCCTCGCTTTAACAAGTATTGTCTACGACTTTGTTTATAGAGCTCGACGGCTCAAAGAGAAACAAGAAAAGGAGCGACGTCGCCGCGAACGGATGGGTTGGGACAACGAGTACCAGTGTTATACAAATCAGGACAATCCGTTCGGGGACTCTGCACTCACCAACACCTTCGTGTGGAACAAGAAGCTCGCCAAAGAAGGTGTGAAGACAGTATCGAGAGATGAACTGGAGGCTTTGAATAGACAGAAGCAGATGGAAAACAAAATAGAACTTGAGAAGGTCAGTTTAATTTTAGTTTAGATTGATTGAACCACATTTTCAATGGACTCTTCAAAGATTTGAACAATTATTTGTAAATCTTTCAATACAATTAAAACATGTTTTTGACTCAAAAGTGGTCTACAGTATTAAATTATGAAAAGTTATTTGAATAGTTCCTGATCTGGGTTGAAAATACAATATGGCATCTCAAAATTACAAACTTTGTTCTAATTGTCTGCTTATAAGTATAGTCACTTGTATACTTGGTCATTTGTTTGGTTTGAGATTGATGCTATGTTCCACATTATGATGAAGTTTAGAAGAATGGACCTTCGAATTTACGATTACTTCATAGAAATTTTTGTTTATAGTGCTAAGTAAGCTACATTTCAGTGTTAGTATTTTATTAATGTTCAAATTATGTTCACGAGAACATGTTGCAAAAACAGTTATGACTTAGGTATGTATATTTACTTTATCTAACTATCTTATGTTTGGCCTATAATATCGAAAACTAAATAAAAATATAGATAAGTTAGCTGATCAATAGTGTTTAATAATTTTGAGACAGAAATGTTTCCTATAAAGTTGGATTTGATTTGATGATATCGAGTGGCAGAGATCGTCGAGATTGTACGGAGATGTGGTCGCGTGTGCAGGTGAAGCAGCGGCGACTGGAGCGCGAGGCGGAGCGAGCGGCGCGGGAGGCCGAAGCGGCGGCCGGGGCGCGCGCCCGGGAGGCCGCACAGTTCAGCAGCTGGGCGCGGCAGGAGGACGCCTTCCACCTGCACCAGGCGCGGCTGCGGTCGCAGATACGCATCCGCGACGGCAGAGGTCTCCATCTTACGTTACTTACACTTTACGAGGCCGCACAGTTCAGCAGCTGGGCGCGGCAGGAGGACGCCTTCCACCTGCACCAGGCGCGGCTGCGGTCGCAGATACGCATCCGCGACGGCAGAGGTCTCCATCTTACGTTACTTACACTTTACGAGGCCGCACAGTTCAGCAGCTGGGCGCGGCAGGAGGACGCCTTCCACCTGCACCAGGCGCGGCTGCGGTCGCAGATACGCATCCGCGACGGCAGAGGTCTCCATCTTACGTTACTTACACTTTACGAGGCCGCACAGTTCAGCACAGTTCAGCAGCTGGGCGCGGCAGGAGGACGCCTTCCACCTGCACCAGGCGCGGCTGCGGTCGCAGATACGCATCCGCGACGGCAGAGGTCTCCATCTTACGTTACTTACACTTTACGAGGCCGCACAGTTCAGCAGCTGGGCGCGGCAGGAGGACGCCTTCCACCTGCACCAGGCGCGGCTGCGGTCGCAGATACGCATCCGCGACGGCAGAGGTCTCCATCTTACGTTACTTACACTTTACGAGGCCGCACAGTTCAGCAGCTGGGCGCGGCAGGAGGACGCCTTCCACCTGCACCAGGCGCGGCTGCGGTCGCAGATACGCATCCGCGACGGCAGAGGTCTCCATCTTACGTTACTTACACTTTACGAGGCCGCACTGAATAAATTATGTTTTAATTTGCTTGGCACGATGCCGCTTGAGGTGAGGTCCACGCAAACATTTTTTTATAACCTAATTCAGCACCTATTCTACATGTAAATAATATATAATTATTTATGTTTCACAGCTAAACCTATAGATCTGCTAGCGTGGTATGTTAGCTCCGAGGAGTGTGTGGACGCGTTGGAAATGCACGAGCCATACACATACCTCAATGGGTTACAAACACAGGACCTCGAAGATCTTCTGGAAGATATAAAAGCAAGTGTCTAATACTATGTCATTATATTTCATAAGGATACCACTGCATGCATTGCACAAATGTCTTTAGGCTAATTTATAATTATCAATTTGTATGTATCATATTTTTAAATCTTTTATTGAGTAATTGTTTTTTTTCTTGTGATGGAGAGAACTCCTCATGATAGGATTAGGTTTGTATAAGCCAATGAAAGGCTTATTAATATTGAAGATTGTGATTCCGACGTTTTTAAACACAAATATCTAAACATACTTTAATTGTAATTCTCAAACTCAATAATTAGCTATAGGTTATAGCCCAAGAGCCCACGACGGCCAGACATACGTCATATTAATAAACGTGAAAGTTCTTGTGTGTGTGTGCCCAACACAGGTAAGAACGATCCCCAAACATGAAATCTGGATCATGGTTCCTTTGGCAGGTAACAGGTAACAAAGGTGTAAAAAATTTCATATCAAATTCGTTATTTTAAGAAACTCCATATTTTCATATATTGTTCGTAGCATTATTATAACTTGCGCTGCTCATTGCCAGACACTTAGTGTGGTTCCAACCCCTCGCCGGACCCCCCTACACTATACTATTTTATAAATAAACTTACGTCATTTTAATAAAGCTGAACTTTATATATATTATTGAGAGAACTATTAAACTGAGTTTCCTAAATTGCCACACAGTTTTTTTGGTTCTTCATCCTACGAATAATATATGAAAATATGGAGTTTCTTAAAATAACGAATTTGATATGAAATTTTTTACACCTTTGTTACCTGCCAAAGGAACCACGATCCAGGTTTCATGTTTGGGGATCGTTCTTACCTGTGTTGGGGACACACATACAAGAACTTTCACGTTTACTAATATGACGTGTCTGGCCGTCGTGGGCTCTTGCTCTATTATAAAAAGTAACAATTGGATTGTTAAAATGTGAATGTCTGTGTAATGGTGTATATATATCTAATATAGAACGGCAGTAGTATCCGGCCCGAAGGACTAAATTTTGTGGTTTTCTACCAAATTTGGTGCACTATATAATGTGATCGTATGGACTGGTGCGCAGGTGTACAAGGAACTGGAGCAGCAGGCGAACCAGGCGTACTGGGAGGACGTGCAGACGATCGTGGTCGACGAGCTGGGGAAGCTGCGGCGGCTGGCTGCGCCTGACGCGCGTCGTGACGGTGTGCACCAGGCCGTCGCTGACGACGTCACGCAGGTAAACGAGGAGCTGGAACTGCAGATGTACTGGAAGGTCGTGTTGACGATCATGGTGGACGAGCTGGACAAGCTGCAGCGGTAGCCGCGCCCGACGGCGTGCCGTCGCCGATGACGTTACGCAGGTCAACGAGGAGCTGGAGCAGCAGGTGTAATAGGAGGTCGTGCAGATGATCATGGTGGATGAGTTCGCGAAACTGCGACAGGAACCGTGGTCGACGACGAACACCAAGCCTTCGCCAACGTCACGCAGGTCTCCACAGGAGAACCAGGCCTAATGGCAGGACACGCTCCGCAGCTACCTGTCTCGCACCATCCCGCCACTCTTACTAATGACTAACTCTCATTCATCCTTTCATTGGGCTCCCTAAAATATGGTCGAGCACAGTGATGGCTGGCTCATCCGTCATACTCGTGAACGAGTGCTGCTTGTAGGGACTGATCTAGCTGCTCTTATCACTACGACTGATTTAATCTTATTGTGTATTTATATTTAACCTAAATAAATTAGTGCTGGTTGATAGTTTATATTCACACGTTTCGACTTGTAAAATGTGAACTTACAAGGATTGTTTAAAAGGGCACAACACAAGTTTGTTGCTTATTCTTCTTGTGATGAAACAAATCATGAACACCAACGTTTGTATGTGTCTACGCACTCAACGCACCGCTCCGCGGGCTGCGGGGGCGGGGGCGGGGGGTGGGGCGGGGGCAAGGAGCAGGTGGCAGAGGACGGAGGCGAGGGCAGGGGGGTGGTGGCAGGGGGCGGGGCAGGTGGCAGGGGACGGCGGCGAGGGCAGGGGGCGGGGGTGAGGGCAGGGGGCGGGGCAGGTGGCAGGGGACGGCGGCGAGGGCAGGGGGCGGGGGTGAGGGCAGGGGGCGGGGCAGGTGGCAGGGGACGGAGGCGAGGGCAGGGGGGCGGTGGCAGGGGGCGGGGCAGGTGGCAGGGGACGGCGGCGAGGGCAGGGGGCGGGGGTGAGGGCAGGGGGCGGGGCAGGTGGCAGGGGACGGCGGCGAGGGCAGGGGGCGGGGGTGAGGGCAGGGGGCGGGGCAGGTGGCAGGGGACGGCGGCGAGGGCAGGGGGCGGGGGTGAGGGCAGGGGGCGGGGCAGGTGGCAGGGGACGGCGGCGAGGGCAGGGGGCGGGGGTGAGGGCAGGGGGCGGGGCAGGTGGCAGGGGACGGAGGCGAGGGCAGGGGGGCGGTGGCAGGGGGCGGGGCAGGGGTCGGGGGCAGGTGGCAGGGGACGGGGGCGAGGGCAGGGGGGCGGTGGCAGGGGGAGGGGCCGGGGCCGGGGCGGGGGGCGGGGCGGGTCTGCGCATCGGCACTGCGGGCGGCGGCGGACACCGGCACGTCTTGTCCGACCGGCATCGACACTTACCGGCTTACAAATAATCCCACCATTCTAAATTTAATGTGCATCTGTCTGTAGCTCATAACAGTTTTTATATTATACCTATTAACACAGTCCACTAGTTTCATTGGCTATCCAGGACGTAACAGTACTATTTAAGGAATCGAACCCGTGTCCATCGGAAGTAACGGTATACTGCTAGACCACCGAGGCTGTCATACATAGCCGGCGGTGCCCTTACCATCGACTGGTAAAAACTATTCCGGTTACAATGCTTACTCAAACTTATATATTTACTATCACGTTGAACAGATCTTCAAGGGCAAGACCGGTAGCCAGCTGGAGGCGCTGCAGACACAGATAGAACAGAAGATCAGCGGACGGCACGACGGAGTCGACATCGGATACTGGGAGAGCTTACTCAGCCAGCTCAAGGGTTTGAATTTTTTTACATCTGATTATATTTACAAGTTTATATAGTATTGCCTTCTTTATTGTTAGCAGTGTGTGTGTGTTTATAATGAACTGATTTAAAAAAACAAGGAACATAAGTAACAAAAGACATAAGTATTTATCCTAATTTATTTCTTTAATTGTAAATTTTTACGTCCAGCTCGAAGGACTATTTCAATTTATAAGATCATTTCGATGTACGATTTTGTCACTCTGCATATTTAATTTAATACAATAATAATTGAAAAGTCAGAAGATTTCAGAGTCAAATATAAAGTATTGGCATTTTGGTAATTCGAGTTGTAGGTAGTGAGTAAAATGAGTAGATAAGCACTCACGTTAAATTTGGTGACAGAACATATAAAAGTATATGTATGTAATTACTTATATAGAAGGTATTGATAGAGCAGTAGAAAATGTTAAAATGAATGAAAATAAAACAACGTATGTGTGTTGCAGCGCACATGTCCCGCGCACGACTGCGGGACCGCCACCAGCACAACCTGCGCCGCAAGCTCCACCTCCTCAAGCAGGAGCAGGGCGTCCGGCCTCCGCCCTCGCCGCCCTCGCCGCCCTCGCCCCCCGCACGGTCCGTACCACAGCCCTCACTGTCACTACCGCCATCATCACTATTACCACCACTCTTAGTATCAGTACCGCCATCACCCTCAGTATCATCACCACCATCAGTATTACCACTACCCTTAGTATCAGTACCGCCATCACCCTCAGTATCACCACCATCATCACTATTACCACCACCCTTAGTATCAGTACCGCCATCACCCTCAGTATCACCACCATCATCACTATTACCACCACCCTTAGTATCAGTACCGCCATCACCCTCAGTATCACCACCACCATCACTATTACCACTACCCTTAGTATCAGTACCGCCATCACCCTCAGTATCACCACCACCATCAGTATTACCACTACCCTTAGTATCTATACCGTCATCACCCTCAGTATCACCACCACCATCAGTATTACCACTACCCTTAGTATCTATACCGTCATCACCCTCAGTATCTCCACTAATCTTAGATGGTAATCACCTGTTTCTTTATGTAACTGAAATGGCCGACGTGCTGATGAGCTACATGATGGAAAGTGGCGTCGAAATGTGGCATAGAAATATCATCATTTTGAAAACGATTTTTATAATTTTTTTGTTATGTTGTATGTACGCTTAGTTTTTAAACTGTTGATTGAATATACATAAATTTCATTTTCAAAGTTTACAAAAATGTTCCTTAAACTTTCATCCCCTATTTTATTTTACCCCCTATTTTTTGTAAAATAAAATAGGAGATGAAAGTTTAAATGGAAAATCTTCATTTTAAAAGCTAGAGTAATGATTTTTTTTTGGTTAGATTATTAAATATTTCTTTATTTGGTCAAGGTAGACTATTAAGTTAATTGTATATATGAAGTAGCGTGTACATCACGTTGTTAGGTAACTTCTGTGATGTTTTTCTTAATACTCATTTTTAGGACTACTACTAATACTCTTTTCCACGGATCCCCAAGGGTGTACTTTGATTAGGGTAGTTAAATAAATTAAACTACGGAAACCTTTCCACAGTGGTTGTTATATTATGTAATTAATAATTATTAAAAGACTATATGCGTTCCAAAAAAAATCTAATTAGCGTGATGTAGAAAAAAGTATAAAACTAAACAGCGCCATCTAGTGGTACACTTAGGAATTAAAACAAACATGTAATCTCATTCGATTTTACAAACTCGCACCATCACCACCTTAGCACCATCTAGTTCCACGGTAAGCAGAATTTTTATTATGGCTACTGGACAATTGATATTTAGATTTTTTTTAAATACATACATAATGTACATAAAATACATCCAACAATAAAGTGGCTGATTGACGATAAAAATAATTTAAGCAGAGAAACTCGCTCATACGACGTATTCACTTTGTTTATAGGTCAGGATCTCCGGAGCGCGAGCGCCCAGTGAAATCCGAGGCCGTAGCGAAGGCGGAGGCCGAGGACGAGGCCGGGTCCTCGGAGGAGGCGGAGGAGGCGGCCGGGCCCTCGAAGGAAGCGGCCTCGGAGACCTCCGAGGCGGAGGCGGCGGAGGCGTGGTACTCGGCCGGGCGGTACTCCCCGGCGCTGCTGTGTGCGGCGTCGCTGGAGCCCGGCACCATGCTCACCGAGCCCGCAGACGACCTGCAGCGCCTCGCCTACCTCCGCGCCGCGCTCGCACCGCAACAGGTCAGCTACCACACCTGCCCGTATTCATCATTTCATAAGCAACGCTCCATAAGTCGCCGGTTCAGACCCGGCTCGAAGGACCAGTTTTACGGTCGTATCGCATCTATGAAAACATTTCTTATAGTATCGTAATCTCGATTTGTACTGATATCTAATTGAACACGATTTGTTTTTATCGTCGAGAGCGTCGATTTTCCTTTATTAAATAAGTAAGTGTGTGCAGCGCGCGGAGGCCCCGGACTCCCGGTCGCTGGAGCAGCAGGCGGCGCGCGCCATGTCCGCGGGCGGAGCCCCCGCGCCCGGGGACCACGCCGCCGCCTTCAGTGTGGAGCACCCGCTGCCCGAGCAGCCCTGCCTGTGGGCCGACAAGTACCGCCCGCGCAAGCCGCGCTACTTCAACAGGTACCCATCCGGGCCCGACCTGAGCAAAACTGATACAAATCTTTACATACAAAAAATTACGCGTCACGTTGTTTGTCCGCGATGACTGGTTGCAAATTTGATTTGCACATTGTGTGCGATTTGATCCAACTTGAAAGATAGAATAGCTTACATCACAATTTATAGTCGCAATATTATTTTATTCAAGAACTAGCCTTAGCCTCAGCAACTTGTAACCGGTGTAGTATTTATATAAGTTTTTTCATACAAAAACTGCTGAGCGAATTTTGATGAAACTTTACAGTAACATAGCACATAGGCTATATTTTATATTGAAATTTAACGCGTGTGAATTCGCGGGTACAGCTAATCTTCCATGATTAAATAAAAATATTTCCCGTGTAATTTCAGAGTGCATACAGGGTTTGAGTGGAACAAATACAACCAGACCCACTACGACATGGACAACCCCCCGCCCAAGATCGTGCAGGGCTACAAGTTCAACATCTTCTATCCGGACCTCATTGACAAGAATGCCACCCCTGAGTTCTCACTGGTGACTACATTCACTTGAATTTACTTTTGATGCATTCAATCGTCCATAGGCTACTGGTTCATATCCGGCTCAAAGGACCATAACGATGTATGAGTCTACTGTGACCCACACAATCTGGATGCTATGATATATAAATGATAAGTCCAGGCTGCTTTCCAACTTGATATATTGAGTACACGATGATCGAGTGTGGACTGATGCTAGCTTGTGAGTATTTGGTGTACTGAGGGGAAATGGTATGTGTGGGCGTTATATGGACGCGGAGCGGTGTAAAATGCTGACGGCTGTACGATGACGCACCGTACAGCTATGGTAACCGTTTACCATTAGATAGATCGTGTACTTGTTTGCCAACGTCGTAGAATAATAAAAAAAAACAAATATTCTGTAATATTATAAATGCAAAAGTAACTCGCATAGTCTCGCTTTCACGCCATAACCACTGAACCGATTTAAATGAAATTTGATACACAGATAGTCTAGACCTTAAGAAAGGATATAGGCTATTTTTTAATGTAAAAAAAGGGTTCAAAGGATTTGAAAGAGAATATGAATTTTTATATAGAAATATCATTTTTAAAGCTTAAACGTTTTTTATACTGTTATATTGCTGCTTTTTTTTATTATTTTATGCGCTTAGTTGTTAAACTTGATTGAATATACATAAATTTGATTTTCAAAGTCTACAAAAATGTTCCTTAAACTTACATCTCCTATTTTATATTACCCTCTATATTAATTTTTAAGGAATTCCAAAAGTAAAATACAAATAACTAATTAAAAGGGGCGGAGCCTAATTGAGACACGTTATGTAACCAACATAACGTGTCTCAATTAGGCTCCGCCCCTATCCGATATTGTCCGAAACTTATATCTCGGATTCGGTTACGGTTATGGAGCTCCCTAACATCCCTGATATATACATATTAATACATATCTACATAAACATACATATACTTAATAGTGCACAGTTTTATATATAAGGTAATCTATTGCACTTTTAAATACATAATCTTGTATATTACAGAAACCGTGCCCCGAGAATGCAGACTTTGCGGTACTCCGGTTTCACGCCGGGCCTCCATATGAAGACATTGCCTTTAAAATTGTGAACCGAGAGTGGGAGTACTCGTACAAGCGAGGGTTTAGATGTCACTTCCACAATAACATTTTCCAACTGTGGTTCCATTTCAAGAGATACCGATACCGTCGCTGAATGTTTCATATAGAACCAATAAACATGTGTCAGAATATATATTTTTTTATTTTATTGGGCACCGCACATGCCTGCTTACTGTGCAATACATAATTGTATACTTTACTAATTTGTAATACAAATTCACCTCAATATAGTTATTTATTAATGAAATTCATCATCAAAAATGTAATATAGTGGCCTCACAACGAAAACAAATCCTCGGAACGGTGAGGTCGCTCCGTGAAGCCTGTGAAGATACCAGGAGTCTTTTGCGCTTTTGGGAGGAGTTTGGCTGGCTACTATAGTAGTCTGGCTCTGCACGCACAACGGCCCGAAGGAGAGGCTAATTGCGGAGACTGGAGTCCAACATAGAATACAATACAAATAGAAAATATACTATTACTAGCAACACACCTCGGCTTGGCATAAGTTTTCTAATTATATGTATATATTGCCTTCCATTTGAATTCGGTAGAGGGTTGGAACCATACTAAGTGTCTGGCAATGAGCAGCGTAAGTTATAATACTGTTACGAACAATATGTGCAGAAATTAACGAATTTGATATGATAATTTTTACATCTTTGTTACCTGTCAAAGGAACCACTAGCCAGGATTCATGTTTGGGGATTGTTCTTATCAGGGATGTTATGGATATGTAATATTATGTTACCTGTGTTATGGATATGAAATTTCGGATATAGGAATGATTATTATACTGGATACGGATACGGATGCGGATATGAAATTATTTCGGATTATCTGTTAGTTCCGGATAATATTTTTTTAAGGAATTTCAAAAGTAAAATACAAATAATTAATAATATGGTTGCATAACGTGTCTTAATTAGGCTCCGCCCCTATCCGGTATTATCCGAAACTTTTATTTCGGATTCGGTTACGATTACGGATATTTTTTATATTGGATATCCGATAGTTTCGGTTACGGTTACGGATCTCCTTAACATCCCTGGTTCCCTGTGTCCCCAACACAGGTAAGAACCTGTGTTGGGGACACATACAAGAACTTTCACATATACTAATAAGACGAATATCTGGCCGTCATGGGTTCTAGGCTATTTATTTGGATATAGAATTTTCTATTGTTTATATTATACTCAAATTTGGTAGAAAATGTCCAGTAGAAAACCCGTGACACCTCCGAAGCCGGGGCGAGTAGCTAGTCTCGTTTGATATAAAAGAAGGTAATAATCAAACACATGGGCCTTAGCTAAGTGTGGATGAGATAATGCAATGTGAGGAAGTAGACTTACTATTATTATTAGAATTGTCCAGTATTATTACAGTCAAGAAAAAGTTTACATAGAAGAATTAATCTATAGTTATTATAATTAATAATAATTGCAAAACTACCAAAAATGTACATACAAGAACTCAACTAAATAAGCATTTGTGCTCGACTATTTTATATTTGAGATGAACCACGGGGGCATACACTGAAATGGGTCCTTTTGCTGCTTTTAATTAAGTATTCTTTAAATGTATTTTCTTTTATGTAATTTGATTGCCAGCGATAAACAATTTTTATTCTTCTATTACTACATGTGGAGTCAAATAGAGCATGTGGGATTATTGAAAATAGATGTTTAAATTCATACACTTTAATATCTTATGTACATATATATATCTCTGCATCGAATTTGTATGGTGGCAATAAATATTACTACATATATAAACTCTCTGTATGGAGCGCAGACAGAAAGATATGTCTGATAAATAAATAATAATTAAAGTCTCAGCATTGTATCTAATTGATTTATTAATTATTTACATATATAATAAGTTATTCTTGCTTGGGTTTGTCTCCCGCTGGGTTGGCAACTTCTTCTGTAGCGGGATTGCTTCTGAAGCTCGGGAACTGTTCCCAGGGTGCACTCAGTTCAAAGCGCCTGAACTCTTGCGCCAACTCTAAAGGCTCCACCACCACGCGCTTCTGTTCATCATCATAGCGCACCTCCACATAACCACTCAGCGGGAAGTCCTTCCTGAACGGATGGCCCTCAAATCCGTAATCTGTCAGAATCCTCCTCAAATCTGGATGGTTAGCAAAGAACACACCATACATATCCCATATTTCTCTCTCATACCAGTTTGCGGCTTTGAAGATGTCGCACGCAGAGTCCACCGGAGTCAACTCGTCTGTGTAAGTTTTGACTCTGATTCGAGCATTGTACCGTAAGGATAGGAGATTGTATATAATCTCGAACCTATTTGGTCGGGAAGGCACATCCATGCCCGCTATATCAACGAGATTGGCGAATTGTGCACTGTGGTGGTCTTTGAGGAACTGTAGCACTGGTATCACACCATCTAAAGGAATCAGCACTTCTAGTTCGTTTCCTGCTGTCAGTTGCACTTTCTGCACGTATTTAGGTAAACATTCGGCCACATATTTTCCAAAGTCAACAAGTTGAGCTTTCTGTAGAGGATCTAATTTAGCAACAGTGGGCCGAGTTTCAACTTGTGGTGTGGTTTGGTCCGATTTACAGGCTACGCGCTGAACGATAGGAGACCTAGCGTTATTTAACATAACTCGTCCCATACTGCTAGCCGCACCAGCGGTGCGTTTTAAGAAAAAGGACATTGTATTAAAAACAAATATATCCTTACGTAATTCGATAAAAGTACAGAACGAAATATGATCAATTCAGTGTTTCTTTTGAAGCTGGTGCAGCATAAAAACAGAAATCTGTCAATCGATTACTGTCAACATTTCACATGTCAATTTCAAGATGTCAGTCTAAAATATGCATTAAAGGTTATCTAATTAAAATAAATCGAAAAATCCAATATTATATTTGTACGCAAATAATTCATCTATCTGCGTAAAATAATTTTGGAATAAAGGATAAAATCGAACTATGAGTCAACTACGGTAAAACTTAAAGAAATCTCTGAAGGTACTCTGCACAATCACAGATAACATAATATTACAGAGCACAATATAATACAGATGCTACAAATGTAGAGTACATTTGTGTGACCATGAAATCTGTCAATCATTACACGACTTTCGTATTTTCTTTCAATTTAATGTCATTCTTTCATTCAATCCATCCTATATTATTCTGTATAATCTGTATTCTGTTTTCTATTGTATTGTTTGTTACTTAGATAATTTTTTGTTTGTAAAACTTTCTTAAATTGAATGTTTATTTGAATTCTACAACATAAACAAATTTATAAGTATTCTTTATGTGGTGGCAATATTATAGAATTTATACTTAATTGTTATGGATTGATATATATAAAAGCGTATTAAAATTTAGGTTTGTTTAAATAATACCACGTGAGCTTTATAAGCCGGTTTCATTTTTTGATAATTGTCGATTATTGTGACTTAATATTTCGATGTTAATTTTAGTAGACACAATGGATTCGGAGGTGGCCGATTTGAAAAAGGTCCTGCGTTCACTGGTGGTGTCCAGCCCCAGCGAAGTGGATCTTCGAACATTGTTACGTGATTACAGGAATATGATGGGAGGGCCTATTCCACTTGCCAAATATGGATATAAAGATGCGCTCACGTTCCTTAAAGAACGTTGTGATGACTGTTTTCTGGTAGGTAGAATTTAATAGACATAAATACAAGCTATATGTTCCTAATCAAAGATTGGCACTTTTGTCAAATAATGTGTATTGTATGGCCATAAAATTTTAAATCATCTTCCAGACAATTTTAAAAATTTGAACAATAAACAATTTAAATAGATTAAGTATTTAAAGAATTATTAAATAAAAATGTTATTATTCCAGAAATGATTCTTTAAATGACAATAATGGATTGTAATAATATTAAATACCCTGAACTTGTCCCCTAATATATACTGCCAACTACAGAAGGCTGTAATTCTAAACATATGCTGCATCGTCAGAAATTTTCTAAAAACAGATTAGACCAATGTTTATAGTAATATATGTACATATATTCACCTCAAAATATAACATTGTTATGTACTTGGCTTAGGACCGTACATACCAAAATAACCGGCGAAACTGAGATGAGAAAAAAAATTAATATAATAATAATCTAATATTAATATCATTGTAATTTTTTTATACGCCTGCAATGGCAGGGCATGTTTGGAATTATTATAATCTTAAGACCATTATGTACACATTTTCCAGTAAATAAATTGAATTGAAAAACTTTTAATATAGCTTCAGTGGAGGATGGATGAGAAACATGAAGAATAGTCTTGATTTTAACCTGTTAATCGAGCGGGACATATAAATATGTCCAACATCAAACATCATTTTTGTATGTGTAGGACATATGTATACCTACATTTTTTAATTTCTACTGCACCCTGGAACCTAGAGCGGGTGGAATATTTCATATCAAAAATATATACATTTAATTATATTGTGCTGACATACTGACACATACTAGTGAGAGACAGTGCCCGTTATATCCTTCAAAAATATAAAAGGAATTCCCCAGTTAACAGGTTAATATCAATTTTTCACTCTCAGTTTCAGGGCCCCCTTAGTAATCCTATATTGACATTGATTGTACCAAAAACCTTACAACACATTGACAAATTTGTACAGAAACAGAGGAGCAATCAAAGTGGCAAATGGTAAGTTATAATGATGTGTTAAATTATTAATATTATCAACTTATCCAACATTTGATATGTCATTTCATCTCGAAATCATTACGGTAGATTTGACATATCATAAAAGTCTGTCATAGACTTTCCTGAATACAGATAAACTGGAACTGATGTAAGTTTATCTATAGAACTGTGGCAGAGTTAGTCTTCCATAAAAATTACAGACTCTTATGTACATATCATCATATCTTATATACAAATATTTTGAATTTGAATTTTGTAGTTAGATGCTATAAAAGAACTCTTACAGTATCACTGTAAAAGATTTATTATTTCTGTGATAAAGTAGTTTTTTACTTTTAGAGAAGTACACAGAATCATTATGCCGTCTATACATATAAATAAGTATAATTGGAGTACCTGTTTGTATAATTGAAATAACCATTTTTTACTACATGCATATGAATATAAATACGGTACACACACCAAAATTAAATTTTTTACAATTTTTGTCTTCATATTCATTCATAGTGAGAAGGTTACCTTTTATGTGTGTTCCATTTATTATTTTAAAGCTGATAAAAACTTAGACAAGTACCTACTATACAATCTGATAGTGATTGTTATTGTACTTTTAGCAAGGGCAAAAGGAGAAGTATACCAGAGGCCATTGTAAAACCAATTGAACAAAAACCTAACAATAATATTGTAAGAACATTCAGAAAGCAAACCAATAATAGCACTACATGTTGCACTATTAAAGAGACTACCACTGTAGATGTAGATAGTCCATCAGAGAAACATGAACCAAAGGCTGAAACTAGTAAAATAGATATAAAAAGTATAGACCGCAGTAAAGAACAGAATGACAGTCCTACGAATGAACTAAAAAGTTTTATGAAGAAACGAGCACTGAACAAGTCACAAGATTTGAACACGGATAAAATAGCCAGTGATAAGACATCATCAAAAGATTCTGGCAGACAAACATCATCCAGTGAGTCTTCTTATATATATATATATACCTGCTTTTAACAGGCTGTGTAATTTTATAAAGTCGGACACATTCTTGGAATCTCCTTTGCCCTTTGACATTTTGCCAGTCGGTCCCTATGACTCTCAGTCAAAGACCATGTTTCGCATCCATATTTTACAAAGTACAATATACATATATAGAAACAGATAACAAATGTTTATTATTCTTTCATTATAATTTTTATAAAACAGGTGGCAGCATTTCCAAAGCAGCTCAGTTTGAAGAGTTAAAGCAAGAGATACAAGATTTGTTAGTGGACTATCCAGAAGGAGTTTGGTGTACCGATCTTATAAGATTATATCGGTAAGGAATATATATAATACTAAAAGGATGGGGGTCAAATAAGTTTACATTCTTATGTACCAATGAAAGGTTTTACTTTTAATTTTTGACGGCCTCGGTGGTCTAGCGGTCTAGCACACCGCTTTACGTCCGATGGTCGCGGGTTCGATTCCTCGCACGGCACAAACATTTGTATTCATGAGTATGATTGTTTGTATCGGTCTGGGTATTTTCTATGTATAATATGTAAGTATTTACGAAAAAAAAAAATTATCTATGTATTTGTATCAGTTATCTAGTACCCATAACACAAGCTTTAGTTAGCTTAACTTGGGTCTAGATGGCGCTGTGTGAATTGTTCTGAGATTATTATTATTATTATTATTAATTTTGTCTGGGAACTGACGAAAAAGGTTGGTGCTCGGGACAAACTGCCTTCGCCTTGGCAATTACAACTGGATAGCTAGATTAAGCCTCTAAGGGTGGCTCACTTTTAGCTAGGGATATTACTTACAAGACTAAGAAATGTAATTAATTTAAACTTAACTTTGGTTTTGTGTACTAATTTTTAATATCTTTTTAAATTTATTATTTCTAAATAATTTAGTACCTCCCTATGTTTGAGAACAGTGGTGAGTATTGACCGTGTGTGGGTGGCAGGGAGCGTCAGGGGCGCGAGCTGAACTTCTCCCGGTTCGGGTACACGAGCATCGTGAGCGTGGCGTTCTCGCTGGCGCCGGCGGTTGCGGCGACGCAGTCCAGCGACGAGCCCGGCGATTGGCTGCTGCAGCTGGCGCGCCACGCCCCCCGCGCCGAGCCCCGCCCCCGGCCCCGCCCCCGCCCGCGCGCCAGGCCCCGCCCCGCGCCGCCGCCCCGCCCCGCCGCCCCCGTCGACCCCGACGACGCGCTGCCCGGCGTTGACTTCGTACGACCCTTTCTACTGTCTTATCTTATTTGACACCCTCTAATTTAACATATAGGAGTCACGGGTTCGTTTCGGTTTAGCCCTGCTGATATATTATATACATGAAGGTTTGTATGGATGTGTGTTTGTTACTGTTTGACGCTAAAACTACTGTATTGTTTAAGGAAAAAATATATAACTCATATATTATGTCAGCGTACTATACATATGTAAAGCTAGGATTTATATAATTATTGAGAAAATTGGCCAAAATATATGAATAAGTGTTACGTAAATCTGAATAAAATAGGCCATCTCGTGATTAATGGCAGTATTCATTGGTGTATGGTGTATGGTATTGGTGTATGGTGGGTGATGAGGACTGGGAGTCCTGAATTTATAAATAGGCCATATAGGCCGCAGCCTGGGGACGACAGATTTCAGAGGAAGAACGGTCATTCGATTTTAGAGGTTTAAAGTCAAACAATTAGATTAGAGAAAATTATTATTTTAGAAAATATATCTCTATGGGACGTGGTCTACGGTCATCTCTACTTATAAATAAAATTGGAGTGTCTGTTTGTAATATTGAAATAACCTTTTTTTACTACATGCATATGAATACAAATACGGTACATACATCAAAATAACATTTTTTACAATTTTTGTCTGTCTCTCTGTCGGTCTGTTTATTCCGGCTAATCTCTGAAATGGCTGGACCGATTTTAACGGGACTTTTTTTGGCAGGTAGCTGGCGTAATAAGGAGTAACTTAGGCTACTTTTATTTTAGAAAATTAAAGTTAAATTCGCGGACGAATTCGCGGGAACGACTAGTTAAATATATAAATCCGACACTGTTCACCAAATAGGCGTGTGCTCAGCATATTGCTGTAGCGTTTGTGGCGCTATAGTGCCGTTTCGAGCGGAGAAGTTTAAATAATGATATGTTGTGTCAGGACCCGGACGTGTTCCCGGAGGACTGCATGCACTACCTGGAGAGCATACCGGCGGCGCCGCTGTCGGGGCTGCAGCCGGGCGCCATGCTGGAGCTGGTGGTGGGGGAGGTGTACTCGCCCTCGCACTTCTGGGTGCTGCGCCTCGGGGACCACCACTACGGCGCGCTCGACCGACTCATGGACGAGATGACGTCAGTATCGCTCGCTAGTTTATCACCGTCTGTGACGTTCGATCAATTGATGCGCAATGCGAATTGAATCTTTTCCGTATGGATAATAAGTTCATAATAAAAAGTATCCTGCATGTTAATCTATACATCTATACATATAAATAAGTAAATTGGAGTGTCGGTTTGTAATATTGAAATAACCATTTTTTACTACATGCATATGAATATATATATATGGTACATACACCAAAATAACATTTTTTATAATTTTTGTCTGTCTGTCTGTCTGCCTGTTTGTTCCGGAACAGACCGACCTGGTTGTTCCGGCTAATCTCAAAAATGGCTGGACCGAATTAAATGGGACTTTTTTTTGGCAGTTTGTTTGGTAGCTGATGATAATAAGAAGTAACTTAGGATATTTTTATTTTAGAAAAAGAATATTAAATTCTACGTGGACGAAGTCGCGGGAACAGCTATTACAATATAAAATCACCAAAAACGCACGATAATAGCATTTATTACAAAAACCAACTTTGTAATAATGTCCAGTCTAGGTGATAGCTTTAGTTAGAAAAATTTGTTCTTTCTAAACTATAATAATAATCTCAGGACAATTCACACAGCGCCATCTAGATCCAAGTTAAACTAGCTAAAGCTTGTGTTATGGGTACTAGATAACTGATACAAATACATATATTTTTATTTTATTGTAAATACATACATATTATACATAGAAAACACCCAGACCGATAGAAACAATCATACTCATGAATACAAATGTTTGTGCCGTGTGAGGAATCGAACCCGCGACCATCGGACGTAAAGCGGTGTGCTGGACCGCTAGACCACCGAGGCCGTCTAAACTGTTGTTCTAAAATAATTTTCATAACACTAGTTCCGTAGTGTGAGTGGTAAAAGGTAGTCCCGTGGTGGCAGGGAGTACTACAGCTCGGGCTCCGGTCGCGGCCGGCGGCTGGCGGCGGCGGCGGCGCGCGCGGGGCAGTACGCCGCCAGCCTCTACGACGGAGACTGGCACCGCGCCCTCATACTCACCGTCCTCGACAGCGACACCGTCAAGGTACCGCCCCGCACACGACCCCGCTACTCGTATACAAGTGCTATTCATTCAAATTAACTGAACTACTGCGGTTACTGTTACTTTGGTTGAATAACTAGGTACCGTGAGGTCGAAAAGCTACTATTCAGGGTTCCAATTGAAACTACCATTCAATAGGGATGATAGGAATTTATTAAAGAAAATACAATAGGGAGGTTAAAACAAAAAAATCTTAATAGCGCCATCTACATTTACGTGTAGCGCCATCTAGTTTGCACGGAGTGAACTATTATTATATATTTGGAACTATTTTAAACATTGGTGATTATTGTTTTTAACAATAACAAACTGATTTTACCTAAATGTTGTTTAACTAAAGTTAGTAATTCATTTTATGGCAATTTCGTAGGTTTTACAACAAAATACCAGAGTCTGTTATAAATCTGCCTGAAAAAAGATTTAAATGTCATATAAAACAGTTCCTTTACCAAAAAGCTTAGTATAAAATTGAAGAATTTGTTAACGATAATAATGTTTTTATAGAAAAACTTAAAATCCATAGCACTGACAATATTATCTCATTACAGTAATAGTCAGTGCTTAGCGAGTTCTGTATAGATTATCGCATGCCTGTTACTTGTTATACTGTAATTTATATTATATAAAAGAAACATCTATTTAAAAGAGCAACACACAAGTCGAGAACTTGTTCTTTTTGTGATGAATCTGCATTCCGAATGAGTGATAGAATCAAAATATGACTATTCAAAAGTGATTGTAATGAGTTTACTCGAATAAAGATAATTTATACTTCTATTTGGTTGTATGTTAGGAGTCACATAGGGCTCACATCTCGGTCCCGTGCTTTCTATAACCGATATCGTTATCGAAGGACGCATAGTGACCGAGCGAGAGGCTCGTTTCCTCGATAGCGTCCGCCCGGCGGAGAGCTGGTAGCGACCGGAGCGTGTGCGTGTCAGGTGCGGCACGTGGACTACGGCACGGTGGAGACCGTGGCGGTGAGCAGCCTGCGGCCCCTGGTGCGGCGCTGGGCGGCGCTGCCCGCGCAGGCCGTGCGGGCCCGGCTCGCGGCCGTGCGGCCCGCGGGCGGGCGCCGCTGGCCGCGGGCCGCCGCCGCCGCCTTCCTGCGCCGCGTGCGGGACGCGCCGCTCGTCGGGAACCTGGTCGCCGTCGACCCGCAGGTACCGCGTGCGGCCCGCAGCTACCACGTGCGACCCGCAGCTACCACGTGCGACCCGCAGCTACCACGTGCGACCCGCAGCTACCACGTGCGGCCCGCAGCTACCACGTGCGACCCGCAGCTACCACGTGCGACCCGCAGCTACCACGTGCGACCCGCAGCTACCACGTGCGGCCAGCAGGTACCACGTGCGGCCAGCAGGTACGAGCAGCCGTGCGGGCCCGGCACGACCACGTGCGGCCCACGCCCATGACTACGCGCGACTCGCAGGTACAGTCACGTGCGGCCCGCAGATACGATCTCGTGCAGCTCGCAGGTACGAGCGGTATGCGGCTCGTCGGCGAGCGCTGCTGACTACACGCGTAGATATCAATCATCCCCCAACTGACCATCACTCGCAGTGACTACTTCCATTCGCTCGTCATAAGGTATGAACCGTTAAATCTACAACTTAGTGTAAAGTGCGGTGAAGAATAATTTATTAATTCCTAAGTCAATTTTACTATTATTTAATTTTAATACTTATCTACTGGACGAAAATCACACTTATGAATTAAAAAACGTGTACTAAAGCTATTCTATTTGGAATTAAAAAACGTATATACTGAGCGATATCGTATACAAAAATGATATTTAGTGTCCTTTACACAGGAAGACATCCTGGAGCTGTTCCTGGTGGACACGCGCGGCGAGGAGGACGTGTGCATTGGCGACGAGCTGATCCGGGCCGGACACGCCGACCCCCGCGCGGACTCCGCCGTGAGGGTGAGTAGCGGGCCGCGCGCGGCCGACCTCCGCGCGCTGGTGGCGGCCGTGGGCGAGCTGTCCGCGTCCGCGTCGCAGGCGGGCCGCATGCCCCCCTGGGACCCGGCCCCGCACCGCATGCCCACCTGGGACCCCGAGGACCCGGCCCCGCACCACTTGTCCACCTGGGACTCAGAGGACTCGGCGTCTAGTGACATTACGTGGAGCCCCGAGGCCTCGGACTCTCGTCGCACGTCCGCCTGGGACCCCGAGGCCCCGGCGCCGCGCCGCCTGTCGCCGCGGGCGGCGGCCCCGGCACCGAGCGGGCGACTGGCGCGGCTGCGCGCGCTGCACTGCGCCCCCGGCGGTCCGCCCCCGTCGCCCCCTGCCCCGCCCCTGTCGCCCCCGCCCCCGCCCCCCTCCAGCGCGGAGTGTATCACGAGCCGCGCGCTGCGGCGGCGGCTCGCGCTCGCTAGGAAGCTCCACGTGGCCGCCCCGTCTTCGCTTGACTCTGTACCGCGACCGACGCGCCGACCCGTCTCGCATAACATATAATCTTTGTAAATAAAAGTTACGCGTCAAACGTGCGCGATGGACTCCTGAACTACTGAACCGATTGCAAATTTGATTTGAACATTGCGTGCAATTTTGTCCAACTCGAAAGATAGCCTTCACACCGGCCTACCGGTATTAACTTGTGATATATTTGATTAGAACTGTAGGCAATAAGGAATGCCTGTACCCGCATGCTCTGTCGCGCACGAATCGACTTAAACTCGGGAAAGAGTGTTATATTTATTATCATATATATATAAATATATATGACATACAAATTTTGTAAAAACATTAACCTTAAAAAGGGTAAAATAATAAATAGTTTGTATGCAAAATCGTTATTTTTTAATCTAGAACGATGAAAAATTTCTTTAGGCGATTTAGATAGATAGATAGATAGAAGATAGAATATACTTTATTTGCAACGTACAGTAAAGAAGAAGCACAAACAATATAACAAAGAAGGACACATGTATCGTTACAATTAGGATTAGTTTATGGGATCTTTTTTCCTCATTTGGTCAAGGTCACTATAACACGCATACGAAGTCACGGGCACAGCTAGTTGTTTTATAAAGTAGCGCATAATATTCCCAAAATACAACGGGGAACTAAAATAATGTGTATTTACTCTTAAGAATAAACCTAAGTCATTAATATTACCTAAGTAAATTTACAGGAAACTTAACATAATAAACTTGTTTGTAGTTTATACGCACAATTAGGAAAAATCACGAGATCTTACCACTTTTTTTTTTCTTTTTATTGCGACCCGTGATTATTGTGGTTGAAAGACTACCGAAATATCGGGAACTCACCAAAAATTGTAATTTTTAGGCAAGGCCTATTACATTATAATGCTGTGACACCATCATCTTGTACATAAGTTGAGCCAATAATACAAGTTCAAATAAGAATTATAATACTTTAGTATGTATAATAATAATAATAATCTCAGAACAATTCACACAGCGCCATCTAGACCCAAGTTTAGCTAGCTAAAGCTTGTGTTACGAGTACTAGATAACTGATACAAAAACATAGATAATTATTTTTCGTAAATACATACGTATTATACATAGAAAATACCCAGACAGATACAAACAATCATACTCATGAATACAAATGTTTGCTGCGAGAAATCGAACCCGCGACCATCAGACGTAAAGTGGTGTGCTTGACCGCTAGACCACCGAGGTCGTCATCTTTGTAGTTCCATATGGGTCTCTAACGGGTTACTAGTTCAATATTTTTGTGCCATTTTTGTGCCAAGTTAATTTATATTTAACCTTCCGGTGATAGAATCGCCTGTTAAAACTAAGGTCCCACTTGATGAATATTATTGCAGTCATTTTCTCTTGCATTGAAAGACAGTTTACAATATGCAGCATGGCATATAGTTTTACCTCGGTATTTCTAATATATTTACAGCTTCACCGGACGATAGGGGGCGACTGCAGGTGGCACTCCAAACCAAGTTGCCTTCAGCCGCTCCATAAGTCCTTACTTATGGAGCGGCTGAAGGCCAACTCCCGCCTGACGGGTACGCCTTTAGTCTGAGGGCACCGCTAGGGGTTGGAACCTCGGCATAGGCCGTCGTAATTTCGATCCCCATTTGTATTGGAATGGGGATCGATATAAAATTCAATGTCACAATGTTTGTAACAAATCTTCTCCGAAACGGCTTGACAGATTCTTATGATATTTTTTGTGTATATACAGTAGCTCTGAGAATAGAACGTAAACTATTTTTCATACCCCTAAGTGGTTCACCCTCATTTTTTTAATTTTAATGTCTTTATGATTCGCCATTAATAAATATATACAACCCTAAATTTTCGGCCATCAACCCTCTTTTCCACCCCTCAATTTTTAATGGTGATATTCGTACTTCAATTTATACATATAGTAAAACAAATAAATTAAAACAACATATTGATATGTTATAAATGAAATAACTTTCTTTCTGTTATTGATGTATATACTGTTTTTTCTACCAAGTAATATGTATATTTGGAATGAAAATTATTATGTATATTTGTTTGTTTTCGAATATATAAATAAAATGTAAACATATTTAAGTTCATGTAATGTTATTAAATGACTTTGGTGTTTATGTTAGAATTCGGTAGTGCGATATGACTTCCATACATTATGAATATTGTACTGAGATTCCTTAAACAACAATTTTAAGGAATAATATTATGAATCTATGGAGATTTACATGTAGATGCTACATGGGATGCTAACCTGATTTCTTTTAAAAATATTTTCAGTTGCTATAAAGTTATTTTATACTTATGCTGCTTTAACGCTGTAATTTAAAAATAAACATCTTTTACTTCTTCATTTGTGGATAAATATTTGAAAGTTGGCAACCCTGACGGCATAGAACGCTGTAAATAATTAGGCGGACGAGCACGCGTCGGTCGTGGGTCGCGATCCGCGTCGTTTGTGTCGGTACGCACTGAACGTAACGGGGGCGGAGCACGGGAGGTAATGGGGGCGGAGCACGGGAGGTAATGGGGGCGGAGCACGAGAGGTAATGGGGGCGGAGCACGGGACGCAACGAGGCCAGAGCACGAGACGTAACCGCGGGACTGGTTGCAGGCGCACGAGCCCTACCTGCGGCCCAGCTTCGCCGCGCTCGAGGCCGGCGCCACGCCCAACTACGCAGACATCTCCGCCTACCTGCGCGACGGCATCGCGCTCGAGTTCGTGGACGACTACCGGCGCCACGTGTGCGCGAGCCCGCCGCCCCCCTCGCCCCCCGCGCCGCCCGCGTCCCCCGCGCCGCCCGTGGCGGTGGCGACCCGCGTGCCGCTGCTGCGCGCGCCCCCCTCGCCCCCCGCCGTGCCGGCCGCCACGCAGACGTCGCCCCCTCCCGCCCCCGCCTCCCCCGCCGCCCTCGCCGCCCCCGGCCCGGCCGCGGGCGGCGTCACGCTGTCGGCGGCGGAGTGCGACACGTTCCAGCTGCTGAGCTGCGTGGACCCGGCCGCCGCGCACTGGTTCATGCTGAGCAGGCTGGGCCGCGCGCACTCCGCCTCCACGCTGGACGTGACGGCGCCCGAGTTCCGGCCGCGCGCGTCCCCCGCCCCCCCGCCGCCCCCGGCGCCCCCGTCCGGGGCGTGGGGGGCGGCGTCGCAGCCGTGGTCGTACCAGCTGTCCCCGCCGCCCGGGTTCGAGTTCCCCCACAGAAATTGACGAGCGATGTCACCGCCTCATTTGTCTATGCTCGTCCGCCTAATTATAGATTCACATCGCATCCTACGTAACGTTATGTTGTACCTTAATTATAAAAATAAATGACACTCTTAATTCCTATATTAATTGTAAATTGTTTCGTTGCTGTTTTTTGAAAGAGAACGACTGTTCGCAAAACAGGAACGAAATCATTCTAAATATAAAATTGTTCAATATTTGACTATTTTCTGTTTAAGGAGTTTATTAGATCGACAGATCAGACTTTATAACACCCGCAGAGTTGGGCTTTTGTTTTTAAAATTTGTTACATTTTATGTATTCATTACATTTTCTATTCTACTCTTTGTATTATAAGTTTATATAAAGATCATTCCTTGAATCTCACGGAGCATCAAAAAATTTTTTAATTGACTGTTTAATTTTCTTTTTATTTGTTATTGAAAACTTGTCTTTTTAGTCATAGTATGTTGAAGTTTGTAATCATTGATTTCGTCAATAAAATATAGATATAAACACTGTACACGGCCACACGTTTATTTTTGTAACGACTATAATTTGTAGGAATACTCGCCGACACGGGAAACGTTAGCCACGAACTATTATAAGTCTGTAATAAGAATTTCACATATTGCATTAGTAAAAAACAATACTTTTTATCCTAGTCGATTATGAAAACTAGAACAAAAATTGTATGAACGGAGACTATGTATTTCCTTTGCCAGGTGGCAAGCGTCTATAAACAAATGTATTTTTATAAACTGTAATAGTTTTCTATTCTATAATTATATTGTTAGTATGTAAGAAATATTATTTGGTAAATAGTGGATTCTACGTTTATGTCGATAAAACGAGTTTATCAAAACTGTTAGTTATAAGTTACTTGTGTGTGATTTAGCTATCGATCTAGTGTAGGCCTGTACAGTAACTGATTACCTCAAACTGTTGTGACTATGATATATGATTCTGTGATAAAAGAAGAATTAGTTGACACGAAAGATTAATAAAAAAGACAGATATATATTGAGTTTTATTTCCAAAAGTTTCTCAGACCGAATGATCGTGAATTTTGAACGTGTAATCCTAATTAGTGTCTTTTTTTTTGTATTGTTTATAATACAGTAATGTTAGTTCCACTTTCATAAATAGCACTTCATAGCGAATAATTAATGAAATTTTGACACTATCAATTTAAAAGTAAATAAAGCAGAGTTCCCACATTAGAATGCTAAAAAGAAAGATATGTAGTACAAATATGAAAAGTAAAATTAAATCTCGCGGGGTTTCTGTTACAACTATAACAACTTATTTAAAAGAGGGCGCCATTTATTTCCACGTAATTTTTTTTAATAATGCTTTATTCATGACCATGGATACAAGTCCTTCAGTCGAATACATTTTTATAATGAATTGAATACATAACATAAAAATTAAAACATAAGGAATAAACTATTATATGCGCTTAGACAGTACAATTTTACAATTTCAGTAATAATTCATTAATATACGAGTACGATGTTTCCGTATTTAATTTTGAATTCGTCACTTAATTACATTTTCATGTCTATAGTATTCATTAATTCTTTAATAGTAGTTTATATTAAGATGTTCAGTTATATACAAGCTTCTGATAATGTAATTTAGCTTTTATATTTTTTAAAAGATCAATTTAGCACTTTCTGGTTAAGGTTATTTATTTAGAACAATTATGAATTTTTATCTTGTAACACTGTTACACAGGCATAAAAAAAATATGATAACAAACATGGCGTGATAGAAGCGTCTTCGTATAATTTGTTTATTAGGTCAACGTATCTTTATAAGATATTCGTCTTGGCGGATTATGTCGTCACATACCAGAGGGCGAAATCTCCATGTTAACGTACGGAAAAGGTAACGTTCCGTAAAATAGTGTTATAGTTTGATGATGGGAAAGCTTACCCTCTTGGTACTGGATGTGATGTGGTGATGACAGGAGGTGCCGGGGCGAAGGCGCTCGGCGGTAGACCAGTGTGCGGGTGATATGCAAGCGGCGCCGGCGCGCTACGTGTCAGTGAGCGAGCTGTATTCGACCGACGAGGTGGAGCTGCTTTTAGACGAGATTCGCGAACTGGAGCCCACCAGCTGCCGCGGCGAAGACGTGCAGGTGAGACGACCATGATCTTTTTATATATATGTGGAATGGTGTAAAAAAATCGCCTTCTTTAACATACATGTTGGCGGAGCACCACAGGAAGATCATAGAATAAGCATGTAGTCAGTTTTACATGATATATTTGATATATTGCCAGCCTTGGGGGCACTATTTAATTTCACTAACAACCCCCTTTTAACCAGGAAAGGTGTTTAACTAATAGAGAAATTCAGCTTCTCCACAAAATTCTATGCAACACTCAACTGTTACAATATTGCTATGGTCCTTACAAGTTTGTTGAATTGCAATGAGTAATATTCTTATTTTGTAACTGCTATTTACTATACTAGCTCGCCCTGCGGTTTCACATGCATGAAATTTATAGAATATATTTTATTCTGATGCATAAGCTATATTACTGTAAAGTTTCATCAAGATCCATAAGTAGTTTTTGCATTTAGTGTTTATGTGAAAGAGTAACAAACATCCATCCATACTCACAATGTTTTGCATTTATAATAATACTGGCTACCCACCCCGGCTTTGCACGGGTGTACATGTATTATATATATAAACCTTTCCCTTGAATCACTATGTATTAAAAAAACCTCATGAAAATCTGTTGTGTAGTTTAAAGATATAAGTATACATAGGGACAAACAGCGACTGTGACTTTGTTTTATACCATGTAATGATATGATTAATTTACAAGCCACTAATTTTATAATATCCCTTAAAAATTTGAATAGTGTCATGTAGTCCCATGGTAAGCAGAGCTAGTGTTATGTGTATTAAATTATTGATATAAATACTTAGATTTTATAAATACATATATAATATATATAGGAAACACCCAAACCAATATATACAATTATAAACATTTTTTTTTTTTTTTTTTTCTCTTTTCTTATCTGCAATCAGTCCCGGAACTATGAGCAGATTTTTTGGGTGTGGGATCTAAGAATGGAGTGTCCACCCCAGCGGGCAGTGCATCTACTCCTTAAGCATACTGCAAACATTACACAATGTCGCTTCTTTTTAGTCGCTTGGGGTAAAGTATTTGTAGTAATTGAGCAGCCAGTTGATTCGTGTGGTCACATAGTCGCTTTTTATATTTTTCTTTACAATTGAGGATCTCCTCCTTTACTGTCAGTACGCCAAGTTCCTTGTGAATTTCGTTGTTGGTGATGTACCAAGGGACACCCGATACTGTTCTCAATATAATATTTTGGGCCCTTTGAATGATGTTGATATTTGACTTTGACGCACTTCCCCAAAGTTGTAAGCCGTATGTCCATACAGGTTTTAGAATGGACTTATAAATCAGTAGTTTATTGTCAATAGACAGTTTTGTATTTCGACCCATAAGCCAGTAAAGGTTTTTAAAGCGAATCATTAAGCATTCTCTCTTGGTTTTAATATGTTCCCTCCAATTCAAACGGCGGTCAAGGTGTACTCCAAGATACTTAACATTGTCCTTATGTGGTAGAGCATAATCTCCCAATCGTACTGGTGGACAATTTCCACGTTTTAGAGTAAAGGTGACTTGGACAGATTTTGTAATGCTGGTCTTGACTTTCCATCTTTGCAACCACCCATAGATGTGATCCAGGCCATTCTGGAGAATGGTTGAAGCCATGTCAGGTGTTTTATTACTAGCTAGCAATGCAGTGTCATCCGCAAAGGTGGCTATAGTGACACCTCTCACTTCCGGAATGTCCGCTGTATATATGAGGTATAACATAGGACCGAGAATTGACCCCTGTGGCACTCCAGCTTTGATCTCATAGAATGATGATGTTTCTCCAGATTCCCTTACCTGAAAGAGTCTTTGTAGCAGATAAGATCTTAGTAGGAGGTAATAACTGTGTGACAGGTTATTCCTGATTTTATATAGTAGTCCCTCATGCCATACCCGATCGAACGCTTGCTGTATGTCAATAAAAGCAGCCGAACAGTATTCTTTGTTTTCGAGAGTCATTCGAATTCTATCACAGACCCTGTGAACCTGTTCCACAGTTGAGTGTTGATGCCGGAAACCGAACTGGTGATCAGGAATAATTTTTTTTAAGGGCAAGTTGAGAATGGATTCTTCGCAGAAGTATCTTCTCAAAAAGCTTGGACAAGATTGGAAGGAGGCTAATGGGTCTATAGGATGCGGCTTCCTGAGAAGGTTTTCCAGGTTTGTGTATCATGGTGATGGTTGAGACCTTCCATAGCTCTGGAAAGTGCTGAACTCTTATAATACCATTAAACAGAATGGTTAGGAAAATTACAGCTTTTTTTGGCAATTGGCATAGCACTTCTTTGGTGAGAAGATCAAAACCAGGAGCCTTTTTATCTTTAAGAGACTTTATGGTCCTCCAAAGCTCTCGTACTGTTACAGGCATTGGTGGGAGGTCTAATTGTAGATCTTGGTTTAGGACTGAATTCACATTGTTCTCAAATCCCTCATTAGGTACGTGATTCGGGATGAATACCTCAGATAGGTGTTTGGCAAAAATATTGGCCTTTTCTTTACTTGTTCTAGCCCAGATATTGTTTTCTGTTCTTATGGGAGGCTTGGTTTGTTGTGGTCTTTTAAATGATTTCGTATATTTCCATAATGAGTAATCTGTAGAAACAGTAGGCGTCAGTGCCTCTAATTTTCGCTGTAATGTGTAGTTTTTGTGCTCCTGTATCATTGTTCTTAGTTCCACAATAGCTCTATTTAAAATAGTTTTATCTTCAGCACATCTGCTTCGATGCCACGTACGACGTAAACGACGTTTCTCGAGAATTTTATTTTTTATTTCGAGTGGCCAGTTTGTAAATGCTTCCTGGTATTTTAGATGTGGGGTACTTCTCCAGCAAGCTTCCTGGATCATAGTTGTTATGTATTTAGTACCTTCTTCGATTTCGTTGATAGTCTTTAATGAGATATTCAGCATTAAGTTTTTCTCTATATGTTCTCTGAATGAGTCCCAGTCTGTATTTTTATTACAGATGATTTCTGGTCTTTCCCGAACTATTATGTTAACACTAACAGTTAAGATAACAGGGCTGTGATCAGATGAACTGTCCAGACATGTCTCCGCTTTAAAGTAATGCTGAGACATTCCTTTAATCATAAAAAAATCCAGCAAGTCCGGCATTTTGTGTGGATCAGATGGCCAGTATGTTGGTTCCCCGGTAGAGATGGATGTCAAGTTATTTTTTTCTGCACTTGATTTAAGTTGTCTACCTCTTGTGGTAGTTAATCGAGAGCCCCAGTATGTGTGTTTTGCATTATAATCACCTCCTGCAATAAATCTTCCTCCAAGAGTGCTGTAGAATTGGGAGAAGCTCTCCTCATCTATTTTATGTCTGGGTGGGCAGTATATAGAAGAGATGTTAAAGAAGCCATGCTTGTCTTCCACTGCTACTGTAGTTGCCTGAATATGTTCAGTTTCGTAATTTGCCATTACATGGTGTTTAATAGTTTCTCGGATTACAATTGCAGTTCCACCATGAGAGGTACCATCTGGGTGGTTAGTCAAGTAAGTGCAGTA